CAGCCGCATTTCCGCATGCATCAAGCTCGCCCATCTCCCAGGCTTTGCTCGGTTCAACGTCACCCAGCCACGCTTGCGAAGTACGCACTTGCCGCACGGGCGGAATGCGCGGCAAACTTCAAATCGGGATATCGCACCTTCGCAACTCGCCGCATGACCAACGCACTTAAAACTCTACTCGCACGCCAAGGAGTCAATGCTCAGCCTTCTTAACCGGCCTTGCAGTTCACGTTCTTCGAGTCGTTCACGCGTACAGCCTGAACAGCAACTCGCCCCACCGCCTGAGGTTCCCGGTTCTCTGGCCCCGACTGCAAAGCGACCATCACATCCTCAACGTGGCGACACCCTTCCATCCAGATGCTGCACACGTCTGAGCATATTCCAATGCCTGTTGAAGAGTGCTGCAGCTTTCCAGTTGCCGTGCAAACCTTCCGAATAGAGGACAACCAGCATCAGCCGCATTTCCGCATGCATCAAACTCGCCCATCTCCCAGGCTTTGCTCGGTTCAACGTCACCCAGCCACGCTTGCGAAGTACGCACTTGCCGCACGGGCGGAATGCGCGGCAAACTTCAAATCGGGATATCCCACCTTCGCAACTCGCCGCATGACCAACGCACTTAAAACTCTACTCGCACGCCAAGAAGTCAGTGCTCAGCCTTCTCAACCGGCCTTGCAGTTCATTTCATTCGAGTCGTTCACGCGTACAGCCTGAACAGCAACTCTCCCCACCGCCTGAGGTTCCCGGTTCTCTGGACCCGACTGCAAAGCGACCATCACATCCTCAACGCGGCGACACCCTTCCATCCACATCCTGCACACGTCTGAGCATATTCCAATGCCTGTCGAACAGTGCAGCAGCTTTCCAGTTGCCGTGCAAACCTTCCGCATGGAGGACACCCAGCATCAGCCGCATTTCCGCAGGCATCAAGCTCGCCCATCTCCCAGGCTTTGCTCGGTTCAACGTCACCCAGCCAAGCTTGCGAAGTACGCACTCCCTGAACGGGCGGAATGCGCGGCAAAATTCAAATCGGGATATCTCAAATCGGGATATCTCACCTTCGCAACTCGCCGCATGACCAACTAACTTCCAGACTCTAGTCGAACGCAAACGTGTCAATGCTCAGCCCTCTCAACCGGCCTTGCAGTTCATTTCATTCGAGTCTATCACGCATAAAGCCACAACG